CTTATCTTCTGGATACATATCAGCTTGTCTTCCTTTCACAATTTGTTGACTAAGATCGCTATACATCTCTTTTACATTCATCAAAAAAATAAATTAAACATTTCCGAATTTTATAAAGTAATATAAATATTTTCAAACTAACATCATGCATACACAAACTAATTTCATCCAAACTGATCGTGGAACTCTCGCCCACTACGATGGCGCTGAGTCCGATGAATATTTAAGTGACTCAAGCAGTTGTACTGTTAATAGATCTGACTTAGGATCAGATTATTATAATGACTATGAGTCTAATTATGAATCGGATAATGAAGAAGCTCCCTGCACTTCAACCAGCACTATCAAAACTCCATTGGTTCAACCACTAAATGTAAACGAGCGAAAGATTAATGTGGCATATACTTTAAGGCAGGAAAAGTTTAATGATAATTTTTCTTTTAAGGACTTGCTAAATGCTATTCGAGAAATTTTCCTATCACCAGCTAGAGATATGTCAGATGAAAAAGGGTCATTAGAATATCTTCCAATTTATTCATTTCTCTTTCCGAATGAAAAAGGCTCTAGTTTATATAATGCTTATGACCGGGATGAAGTGGTAGATAAATTGGTTATCAAAATCGATCAAGATGATTGAGCCCCAAAGTTTTCTGTTGCAGATGACATTTCTGAAGTATATGGTTTACCTGGGATTCATGAATGTATTAACGGTCAAAAACCTTTAAGAGCTGTGATTGACATCGATGCGTCAAAAGGGGATATGGAAACAGCTGGTGTCAAGGGACGAGAAGTATTCATCCGAATCTGTTGCTCTTTTATAAGAGCTCTGTACCGAATCCTTGACTGTGGTTGGGAAGATATTCTCAAAGGGTTAATAATTACTACATCATCGGATCTTAGCAAATGTAGTTACCATATTTTATATGCACCCGTTCTCCTTATTAATCACCATGAACTCAAAGCATTTACGGAATTAGTATATACCATAACTGGGGAAAAATTTGGCAAGTATATTGATAGAGGATTACCTGATCAAAATTTTAACCTTTGTCTTATCGGTTCAGCAAAAAAAGGTCGTGTGAAGCGTGTCCTATTATCTTCGATAACTAATGGCTGGAACGAACTCGATCACACTAGAGTTTAGCCACCTTCTAGTTTAGGACTTGAAGTAAGACCTCAAATACTTAGTACAGAAAAAAATAATGATCCACTAAGAATATCTGTAGGGCAGGATATATTACAAAAATGCGCGGATCTAGTTTTGCAAAAGTATTCTAAATATCTTAGGGATTGGACTATCGAAGAAAAGGAAGAGACGAAGGAAAACTTCGTATATTTTAACCGAAAAGCTTCACTAGAATGTTCACTCTGCAAACGTTTACATGACAAGGATCAGCGGTGGTTCGGTCGTGTATGTATTAGCAGTGGAAGGTTCATCGTAAAATGCTTTTGGCAAAATAGTGATGAGCATGGGGAAGTTTTTGAATGTGATCCATCTATTGCAGAAAAAATTCAGCAAAAAAATAAAAATTCTTCAAAAGTCTCTTGCAAAGTAAAAGGTCTGGGCTTCCCTAAAGCCTTCGTAGAAATGCTAACATGGGTCAAGTATAATGAAACCCTTACGGCTACAGAAATATATAAGGAGAGATATATAAGATCATTACCCAATAAAGGTGATATTTATGTAGGGTTGCCTTGGGAAACTGGAAAAACGTACATTCTTGAACATCTTACTATTTCTGATGTTGTAAATTTGCTAGTATTATCCAC